ATGACAGAATTGATCGAGCCGCTGCTTAAAATTCACCATTCGATTTCCGTTAAGCAACTACTCGTCAGACACCATCCCTGATCGTTGCTCGACCGATCATAAGTGAGAGATTCCCACCGAAAGGAAACCTTGGAAGAATCTGGAAACACGAGTCGCTCTGTTCGTAGATCTAGAGGTCTGATAATAGGTTCTAAACTGTACTTCGACGATCGATATAATACCTGATAACGAAGCCAACACTGGACGATCTATGATTTCGATCATATTTGCATTTGCATTTAATCCTGCGGCAGTCTTATCTTAAACAATCTCGTTTCTTGTTTCCGAAGCGAAGCTAGAAATTAGGAGAATTTCTTAGCCGAGGGTATACTTATATTACGTGTAATAAATTTCACGGAATCCTCGACGTAGGCAAATTAGAATCTTATCCAATCTTTCCGTACAAGTTTATTAATATGCAACCTCCTCGAGCTGTTGCAAAACTTGGAATAATTGCTACTCGCAGTCAATCCTGTTTGTGTACCTTTTCTTCAAAATGAAGTTAAAAATTGGAAAAATTTAACGAAATGCTTAGCCAAAGAAGCAATTAATACTGTATACTTTAAAAATGTTCGACGCAGGCAAATCTTCTTACGCGAGTATGTCAGTGTACCTGAAAGGTGCTGAGAAACTTCAAACGTTCACTTCATCTGCTCCTGAGCTCAGAATCGTAAACTGAACTTTACGTTAAATTACTAACAACGGTAATCACCATAAACGTTCGCGGTGTTATTAACCATATTACTTCATTGTTGCGCTATCTCCTTGCACAAATGGCGGGTGAATTCCCACGATTATGACAACGTAGTACCAGAAAGACGCGTCCGTGTACTCTAGCTCTCGTTATCGAAATTGCTCCCCTATCGTCGTACTCTTCCAATTATCCTTCAGAAGGATCGTAACTTCAGACCCGTTCGATAATTCCTGCATCTCGATGAAGTCGACCAACTACCAACGCATCGTCTTTCCTCTCACACGGAAGTAATGGTGGATCTATTCTATAAATTATAATTATCCTTGGAGGTATTAATACCGCGATCGTATCCCTATTTCCACGTATGAATGAAGTTCCTTTTTCCATGTGCCTAACCTTTCTCTTAGTATTTAGTTTTCAACTGAATGAAGGGGCTACGCCGACCGTAGAAAAGGTCGTAATCACGGCTCGTTCGACCTTCGATCTTTTCCTTATGTCGGATAACATAGTAATCGACGACGCTATTTCGATCAACCATCCTTTGTTTCGACGACACACGTCGAAAGCTGTGATCCTTCGAACAGAACAACACGACCTTCTCGTTGGACGAAATCGTTGCTTCTCAACGCGTTATACGTATCTAATTTACAAGCAGAGTCCCTTTCTCCGGTGTTACGTGCGTGGAACATGATTTATCGCGTGCCTATAATTCGTGTTACGAGCTGAGATAAAGAACTACCTGGGCTGGAGATAATTCTATCGAGAATTTCTTTTTTGCCCGCAGTCCGATTTGAGACTGTGAAACACATTGGCATTGGATTCGTATTAACCACTTGCGCTGGCAAGAAATTCACAGACGCGTGTGCCAGAACGGTCCAGTGTTTCTGTGACAATTGTCCGACGACGCGTGTACCACGTCGATGGCGATTCTGCGACGAAAGCATTACGACGTGCGTGGCACGTCTTTTTAGCGCAGATGGTTAAAGCCACTGGGACTCCCAGTCTGGATCAGATCAGGTTTTACCTATTTCGAAGGAATGCTCTTAAGAGATTCCTATTACGCGATAGCCCAAGAAGTTTGGTCCTATGCCACTTAGGCGATCGTTAGTGGATCCTCGACATATGAAAGCGATTCCGAAGTGTCGTAAGTGATAGTCGATTTCATAAGATACATACATCCACGCAGGATAAAAGGATTACATAATATTTTCTTCGCTTTTTATTCTTCTTCCACTCTTCTTTTTTCCCTCCGCGCGTAATAATCATAAATTTGTCATCCATCGTTAGATATCCGGGGCTTTCTTCCACGCGACCACCGTCTAAGCATTTTTCGTCGTATTTAAATGAAAGTCACCAATTTATTGCTTTGGCATTTAAGACGCATTAAAAATCTTTCGATTCCCTGCTCGAGCTTCGTCGCTTTAAGGTGTATTGAGAGAATAGTCGGTGACCTTGACGATGTCGTCTTATTAAAATTTCGCATTCTCGAAGAGGTATAAATCCTGAAGTTTTCGTTGATATATTTATCGCATAAAATCCGATTAATTTTTTCGCCTTTTCTTTTTTTTTTTTTCCTTACGAAGGGAATAATCGTTGTTGAATTAACAACAGGATCATTAGCCTTTGACAGAAGAGAAGAAGTCTCGATTTAAGTCGAACGTCCGATTTCTCGCGTCTTATAAGGAAGCAAATCGTTATTAATAAAAGATTACTACACGTCGATGGCTGTCGAAGTCACACTTACAACCGATCGTGGTTTACCCGCAGCGAAGTAAAAGTCTGGACGACCTGAAAAGTCGCGGATGACCTCTGCACCTGCACATAAGGATCATCGCGGATGCATTCCCGCTTAATCTCCGCGATGTTGCCCAATTAGACAGGAATACGCGTGGAATCAGGACTCTGGCAGCGATTTTCTCGTAGGTCTCAATGATTTTAACGTCTCACAACATTTCTCGAGATTGCGATTCGAGCTGTCCAAGCATAGTGTACTTATTAGTTGGAATAATCTCACGTATCGGTAGTCAAGATCCCTGGATAAGATCGGATAAATTAAATAACTTCACAGGAATTTTGCTCCGTTGACATAGTATCGACGATACAACGATTTCTAGATGTCTGGATATTACATCCGAGAGAATAATTTCTAATTGGGTATGGTTCGTGATATTTCGGCAATACCAAAGATCTGTGATAGGGGAACGATGAGTTATGCAATTCGACGTTAACGATTTCTAACCCATAGAAATCTACGGGCCCGAAGAATAACATCCTTGGCAGTATTCAAATCACGAGAGGCGTCAAGAGTAATAGTCCCTAAATCGATATTATTTTTCATCGCAGCTCGTAGTGAAAGGAGCTAATATTAGTTTCATTGACGTAATAAGAGGATATTAACAGGGGATTAAAAAGATAGAGCTATGAGGGTTATACGAGCAATAAACTGTCGAAAGTAATTTCGCGTGTCACTTCGAAGTTTATAAATTATATTCATTGTAGATTACAGTTGAGACAGTCTGTAGTGGTTGAGTTAGACTACTACATTTTTATGGCCTAGTAGATAAATCAGATATTATATTAATTATATTATTAATATAATTATAATATTATATTAATAATATAATTATATTATAATAATTATATTATATTAATTTCTTTAAATTTCAGCTTAATTTATGCAATATTACTCTCATGATTAATTTATGATACAATATTGACGTTTATTAGTAAATCCTTGAAGGGAATTTATAAATTCTATGTTATTTCCATTTTAACGGTTCCAATTTATTATTCGATTATTCGATTTTTGGCCATATTTATGCCATCCTTCGATTTTCCTTATCCGTAAACTTTCCCCGAATTGTAAGTTTAAAATATTTTCTCTAGAACTTAACATACGAGCCGTAAGTCGAAGAAGGTCGAAAAAATTATTTTCGTTAGAAGGCCATGCATGTAGGCCACATGACCAAATACGTTCTTGCACCGTAACAATCACCTCATCTTCGTTTGTCATTGATCTCTCGCGCGAAATGGTACATCAGATACTAATAACTTTAGCATTGAATCCATTTGCTTATATAATTTGAACCCGTTCGATTATGTCGCTCGATACTTTCTCGTATCGTGCGAATAAATCGGAACAAGTGCTATACTCTGGACAATACTTGAATCTTGCTAATTTCCCCTCAGAAGTTAAGAAGTGCACACTCGACGTCGCCATTCCGTTGTTCCACAAACGAACATCACCGTGTATCGCTGCCATGATATTTCGCAATATCAAACAGAAAGTTAGAGTTCATGCATATGAATATCGCATTAGTCTCTAATTCCCAAGATAAAGATACCGAGCAATTCGTATGTTCGTTCGAATATTTTCAAAATATTATTCGCCGATATTAGCTGGGAATAAATATTTTTCTCTTCCCCTGGTCGTCAGTTGCATTTTCGTGATTCACGATCAATCATCGGTTTACGATTCCACATTATGAAACTCGACGGAAAATACTGCCTTACACTTAATGTCCTCGGTCACGCAATGAATCCGTAGTTTCGTATTCCTTTAATACAATATTATTTCTAAATATGTCCTATCTCTTTCTATCCTTTTGAAAGAAATAAACGTGCATCTTCTTATCGGGAACACGTTTTAATCCCGATAGCGTGTTACGTGGTCGAGAGTCGTCGAAATATCGTGGAATTTAATTCAATTATTCTATAAGATATTGCTATATATCTTCAATTTTATTACAGCCTCTCCCTCCTGGCGTGAATTTTAATTTCTTAACGAACGAGATAAGTAGGAATATAATTCGTACGTATTTAATTATAATATCGTGCCTTATGCAATACCGAAGTAGGATATTAGATGAAAAATGATATTCCACGATGCTTTCATGAAACGACCGAGCTGTTCTGCAATTCTACAGTAACCGTCCGAGAAATAATAGAAGAGGTTCATGCGAGGCTCCACGATGAATCATATCAAACACGACACTTCAATTAAAATCTACTATTTATTTGTTCGACTTGCACAACATCTTTAGCGACGATAAAAACATAAAGTTTAATCAGATAGAGTCGAAGCCGTTTATTTGACAAATATCTTCGTTGTAGCTCTAATAGTAAAGACAATTTCAAATATACGAAGACGAAAAGAGCGGATTCCGGGGTAAATGATTTATCCGAGAGAAGATTTCGATAATAGAATCGACGGATCTACGATAACAGATCGGTTTTAAGCATATCTTCTTTGGAAATAGTGGTATCCAAATGGTCGTCATTTCTTTTAGTAATAACCACCATAGTGACCATATCCGTGACCAAAACCGTAATGCGGGTAGCCTAAAGGGAAAAGCAGATTAGGATGAAAGGATAACGTCGATGAATGTTCTGTTTATTACATAAGTTAGCTGGTGTGTAACGTCGATGAATATTTTGTCGATTTTACGATTATCGGTGGACAAATCTTCGAGATATCGTCGGATTACGACGTTCGAGGACGTTAATTGTACATACTATCTGAGAATATTAAACTGCACGCAATGGCGCAATAAATTGAGAGTCAAGAGAGGTACAAAATATTCATCGACGTTGAAAGCACTTTCCTCGCGATCTAAATTTCGCCATGCATCGTGTCGTCTTACCATAATGTCCAAAACCATGTCCGTACCCGTAAGCGGGATATCTGTAGATGTAAGGATAATAGCCACCGTATCCGTATCCACCGAGGTATCCTGGTTTCGCGGCGACGATGCCAATGATGACAACCAGCAGAAGGATGGTAAACTGAAAAAGAAATTTCACGATCTTCAAAATTGGCGTACATAAACTATAAACGTCGCGAATTCTATGTTATATCCTTCCATTCTACGAATCAATATATATCTAGGAAGTTGAAAATACTTTTATTCCTGTGTTCGACTTTGCGAACGTCTCTTCAACCCCTTCGCTTTCAATATCGTGTGAGACTCGTGATAAGGATATCGGGCCAGACACGAGTATCACGGGCAAGAGACGTGGTTCATCGATAGGGTCCAATGTGAACAACACGGATTAGGCTCGTGGTTAATTTTCGCCTTTGTCTTTCTGTCTCAGTTACGTGTTATTCGTCGTTGTGTTCGGACGAAATGGCTCGACGTGTGACCGACTCTGTTATTGATTACGGCACGCGTCATCCGAACTCGAATCGTAGGATAAGAGGTTAACGTGCCAGACTATTTCCTTGTAAATTTACGACCCTGTCGCGTAGGCTCTTCGAATTTCGTCGAAAATTCGTATTTTACGCGAGTGAAAAGCAAAACATGGAATTGGGGGCTTTAAATTGCTTGCAGTATGTTTGGGTTTAAGAAAGGGGATGCTTAGAGCGGAATTTGGATAAAAGATTCGTTTTATGTAGATACAGAAGGATTTTTATACGTTTAATCTGCATATAGGGTCATATGCAAATTCGGAATTTAGACTTAGCCTTTGGATATCAAGGAATACTCTCAGTGAAATAAATACCAAATCGTATGTCACTTCATAATTCAGATACTAAAAAATAATAAATATGGAAAATAAAATAATTCTAAATTGAGAATAGGAAGAAAATAAATCGACAATTTTAAAGAAATATTATTTTGCATTTCTCAAGATTTGAGTATCAACGCACTGGATTGCTATTTTATTTTTTATATTTAAAATGAGCTTCGATTTTCTGTTCTTTTTTTCTTTATGTAATTAATCGATTTGGTAAATGAGCGACTCGTGTAACGTTGAATAAAAATTCGAGCCCTTGTTCCTCGACAAGGGGTGGACCTCGACTTCCTCGCGCCCTGTGCATCGCCTTTACTTACAAGTTTCGAGTAAGCCATTCTCCGTCAGCTGACACTAGCCAGTTAACTCCTCTAGGTATTGCACTAATTTTTTCCGATCTGTCAGTAGTGTGCCACTGTCCGTCTGACGTTGGTCTCCGGTTCTTTTATAACAAAGGCGGGTTCCACCACGGCCCCACGGCGATTTTCCCAGCCTTCGTATTGGCTTCCCTCTGTTAACACTAATAGCAAAGACTGGCATTGTTACTCTGGGATTATGCGAATGCAATGCGTCATTATGAAAGAGACCCGATGCAGCAACGCGTTTCGGGATGGTCAGTCGTGTGCACGCCCTGTGAGCAGTGCCTTGACACCCAAATTTGCCGAGGGACCCGCGCTTTTCGTCGAGAAAAACCTGTCATCACGTTTCCCAACTTCGTTCCCGGGAAAACAATCGAGATACCGTGAAAATCAGCGCTATGATATTCGCAATGCGAATTTCGGGGAATCCGTGAAATTAATACCTTCCCCGAGACGTCTCTAGGGAACAGCATTTGGGGAGTTTCGTGTACTCGCGGGTACAATAACGTATATTCGTACACGGAAACAAGTGTTTCGCGAAATCACCGCCTCCTTTCGATTTCAACTTGGGACGTAAGGTTTTCTGTTCTCCCCGTCATCCTTCTGTCGAATTTCACGGTTCACGCTCTATCGCGTTACTTTATGACAGTGAATATAACATCGCCTTAAGATGTATAATAATTATAATTTACTTGCAAAATCACTTTAATCCTTTCACGGTCACGTCTGCAGTAAGACAGCTTCGTTATTAATTTCGCATGAATTACAATTTTTGGAAGAAGATTACCAAAGAGCGAAGCGATAAAGTCTCGCACAACGCGTTAAAACAACAGGCTTTCTTGAGATGCACGAAGGTATCCAGAATTATGTGACTGAGATGTAAACTGCTCAGGATGGCGTCGTTATATGAATTGATAATTAACATCCTATTTAGTGATATTTTTATCATTCCTCTGGTAATTTCTTTTAAAAGACGTCACGCCCATATCGCGGGACACGTAGCGAAGTACAAAGAGATCGAGGAGATTGTCAACATCTCGTTACCACGCTATTGGATAATTTAACGTTCGTTTGAGCTAGGACAATGCGTGCACGATTCGGAAAAGGGAGATGTCGTGGCGGGCATGACGTAGACGGAAAGAAGGAAAATCGCGGATTGCGTAACAGGAGCGTGTAACAGACTGCGTTCCAAAATGGCGAAATTTTGGGTGACGGATGGAGGGACGAAATCGTGAGAAAGAGAAGAAAAGAGCGAGCATTGCGACACTGGTGGTACCGAGAATCGGCACTGTCACTGATGGCAGACATACCTCGATACTCGCAAGCCATGTTGCAAAGTTGCGCGAAGGGTGAAGAGATTATGCAGAAAATATGCAGAAAATATGCAGAAAATATGCAGAAAATATGCATATATAAATATTAATTCTCTTCATCTCCTTTCTAGCTGAAAAATTTTTACCAACGATCCGATCCGACAAATCGCGTGATTTACGTTGCACGTGGACGTCTCCCGATGCACGCGAGTTGCAGTTAAATTCGACTGTATATCGCGTCGAAATTCGTGGAAGGTTCGAGAAAACGCGCGCGAGGAGCATCTTGCTGCGCGTAATCGCGTAATTGATGTACGCGACGAGTAATTATTCCGTTTCACGGGGAAGAATTGCGTGACATGTAATTGCAAGTTGCATTTCTTTCCGTCAATCGTCTCGTTCGCAGTCTAAGCGCGTGCACTTATGCATACACAGCGAGACGTATTCCGATATCGTCGCCTGATTTATCGATCCGTGCAATTACGTAACACTGTATAAAATCGTAATCGGTAGGTTCGACGTGAACATTTGAACCCGTGATTCATAATCTCCGCGGCTGATCAGGCAGAAACCGACTGGGACGCCTGGCGTATGTGAAATCGATTGACACTTTGTATGATAATCGCGCCTCGCTTTAATCATCGGGACGAAAAGGCTTGCAGTCTAATTCCGCCAGTTACGTGATCCTTTTTTCCTGTTTCCACGATCGCTATTTCCCCAGAATCGCTGAATATCGCGAACGCCGAAGGACTTTCCGCGTATTACGTATCGCGATGTACTTGAACGAGCAACAGTAAATCAATTTTATTGCGTTCCCGTTGATCCCAGCGAATGATGCGTTAAGGATCAATAAGAAAGCACTCGGTCGATTTCGCGAGAGTTGGGAATTTCTCGGTTTCCCTCGTGTCTTCGATCGTGAGTCGCAAACGTATCATCCCGGAGCTTCGATCGATGGGTCGCGTATGCAAAATCTACGCGGCGAAGGCCACGAAAATTATTAGACCGTGACAGTTGGCATGCGTGATGGGCACGGCGTGTAATTGCAGGATAAGGCCAACTAGAGCTATGGGAAATTTTTTCTGTATCATAAGCATGGGAACGCTGCGCTGATCAATGCCAAGTCGCGACGCGTGTCATCGGATCAGCTGTCGGATAAGTCTTTGAGAATGACTTCTCGAGCCGCAATTAATCTCTTCCGTTGTCCGGAGTGACGTAAACGGATCACGATTCGAATGCAACCGAGGTTTTACTTCTGTCGCTTCGCGCGAAGCTTGTCTAAGATGATTCAGTAGATCGTTCAATTAGCAAGACTTCGTCCAACGAGGAAATTATCAGGGAAGAAGAAAAATAAACGCGATGCTTTAATGAAAATCATCGATGGTACATGTAGATGACAATCTCAGATCCTTAGGCTAAGCGTTAGGCTAATTGGTTCGATACTTGATCGCGCGCTAGTTTGCTCTCTTTGGTGACGAACTCGGAGGCACGCTTCTTGTACTGATTAGAAGCTGAGGATCGGATCATCTCTGCCTTGATCTCGGACAACATCTCGGCTTCGCTGCTCGGTGGTGGCTCAGCGGCTTCGGGGTTCTCGTTGGCAGTCTTCTCCGCTTGCGCAGGTTTCTCGGGCATCATCGCGGGTCGATGATTGTTGTAAGGATAATACCCACCGAAGGGATACCAGTGAGCAAACGGAAAGTGGTGGTAGCTACTCGGATAGAAGTTCAAGTAAGGAACCGTTTTGATCCGTGGGAACGGGTGATCGTGGAAGCCATAACCGAATCGATAAGGCAATCCACCGAAAGGCGTTAGAGGATACGGGTGATGATTAAATCCGCCATAGTAGGGACCATACGGATAGCCAAACGGAGGGTAATTCGTGGTACCGTTAACGTTACCCTGACCATTTTCAGATGCTGCGATTTGTTCGGGAGTCGCTTGATTTTCAGGTGGATTCTGGGGTTCAGCTGGTCTCCCGTTTCCATAGTAGCTCGGGTAAAACGGTTGGTGATAGGGATCGTAAGGACCAAACCTGGGACCATAGAAATACGGTGGACCAAACGAGTATGGACCACCTGTCCCATTACCAGCACCGTGATCCGCGTATCCTGGACCAAAGGAGTCGTTAAGTGGACCAGGATAGAAGCCAGGGAAGCCGTGATAGTAGCCACCGTGATAGTACGGTCTGTAATGGAAACGTGGACCATAGTCGTACCCCCCTAACGCAGTCTGGCCTTGATTCTGATCGTTGATCAGTCTAGATGGGTTACTTTCATCCTGGCCACTAGCTGGTGCCACAGACTGACCCTCGCCTTCGATCGGTCTACCTTGAGGATAAAACCCTGCGTGTCGATGAAACGGCTGATAATACGAAGCATGAAACGGTCCGTGATAATTCAGATTATAAGGTCTACGTGTTATTCTAGCCACCTGGGGATTCTCGTTCTCAACCGCGTTTGGGTTAATCTCGTTAGCTACCGAAGGTTGCTCAGGGAGACCAGGTGTCTGAGGCGTCAGACGATGATAGTGAGGTTGAAGACCGATTTGAGCATAATGATTCGTGTTAGGTAACTGGTGGTCAGGTTCGGGTTTATATCTGAATCCCAAAGGTTGATGGTACTGGTTGGAGTAATGAAGAGTGGTCGCTTTGATGTCTGCATCGATGGAATTTTCTCTGGCGTTGACGTTGGTAGGTGAATCTGCCTTCATTTGGTCGCGAGGTGTCCGTGAATCCAGTTTCGCGGAGAATTCGAACGGTTTGTGCGTTTCTGAATCATGGTACTTCGAGTGACGAGGTGTGTTCGTTATGTAAGCATTCTGGAATGCCTCTTTCCCGTCGCTCGAGGAAGATAGCTCGCGTGTGTGCCGCGGGTGGCGACACAAAGAAGCATTCGACGGGATCTTTGAACTTTCCTGAGCGCGGTCGAGGTCCAATGGCGACTGCGTTTCCTGAATTCTTTTCAGAAGATTGCTCGCCGATTGGTTTGACGATTGGTTCGATTGCGGCTCTTGGTAATCGGTCAGCAAGGTCGTTGATAGAACCGACGCTATGTTCCTGGCGAAAGATGTCAGCACCTCCGCGCCTGTTTAGCAAGAGAGCGATTTAGTTATTTCTTTCCTGCCGTTTCAGAAAATACTTATCGTGATTCTAGACGAATGATTATGGGATTAATTTGTCCAATTCGATTTCCCTTCTCCTTTTCTATTGAAAATCAAATCAAATCGTACATGCAGCTACTCTGTAATCTATGGCGTTTCAACATTCGCCATTTCTATTCTTACATACTTTATCGTGACTTTTAACTCTTTTACTGTACATTTTAAAAATATTTTTTCACTCGATCGATCCGTGATTCCAATACGGTGTTTTGTCTCTGATGGAAAGATTTTAGAATCGAAATTTTCATTTTGAACAGGAATGAAAGGAAATAGTATGTATCTAGTAATTTATTTATAAGTAGCCTTATTCACTCCTCCATTTTTATAAAGAGAGGAAGATTAAATAACGCGTTTCGGATTATAAATGTCACCGTAATGACATTCAGCAATGGGATAGGAAAGGTTAGACCACGGGAAACTAATTAATATTTTCCATAATGTCACTGATTTCGCGTTCGAATCTGTATTAACATATTCTACGCGGTTACAATGGACTAAATGTTGAGTCGGGATCAGGAGAACATGCTCGTGACACAAGTCGTGTATCGTTAAGGGTTACCGCCACGAGAAGGCTCTAGCTTCGAGTATGGCCAGAGGCGAGCAAACGTCACTCGATGTAAACACGGCTTAAGTGTAACTGGAAAGTGAACGCAACGAGGAAATCTCGAGTGCGATCTATAGTCGAAAGAAATGTCGAGAAAAAATTTGCCAGCGGCAAAATTGCATTGCAGACACGCCAACAAACTGGTGGAGTATGCAAATGTGTCCTTGAAAAATAAAAACAAGCGGATTCGACGGAAGCATGCTCAGCTCCGACAAAGTGAAATTATAGAAAGTAATAAGAAAAGGAAAATTAGTGATAATTAGCAAAATTAGCAATACGAGAACGGAATTCTACTGTAGTCAATGTACAATATTTAAAATAACGAATAAGGACGCAAGAAACTCTATAAAAATGATAAGAATAATTTTTTTATTAATTATTATAATTTTAAATAATTATGTTTCTTCAGGTCATTATTGTTATCCCGTTGTTTATTATTATATGTGTGCCAGATGATCGCTACGAATTAATTAACGGCATCCGAAATTCCGTAGAACGTTGAAATAAATGAAAACGAAGAATTAATTATTTAAAATTTAATTTTACGTTCTGTATTACTTAACCTTTAAATTTAAAGTCGTAAATTCACTTTTACGATTCCGAGTTTGTAAAAACTGGCTCGGGTAGCACAAAAGGAATTGATGTATGACGTGATCTTTTTATCTGAACGACAGGAATTCCATTAGCGCCCACAGACTCATTTGGACAATGTGACGTGCATCACTCTCAAAGACCAACTGACATACATCAAATTGCATATCAATTATACTTTCTCTGTTCGAATAGTTTTGCGATCGTTCGATTCGCGTAAGATTGCCCAATTATGTGTAACCATGTGTATTTACCAACTCAAAAGAACGCATGATGTATTTCATTTAATCTTCTTAAATACCTCCTCTGTTCGCAACGATCGTATACAAAAATATAAAGAGAATAAGATGAGGAAATTCAAGTAAAACCCACACATATTCTTGAGAAACGTTTGCGTCGCCCACAAATAGAATAATCGAAAAATATCTATTTTTTTTCGTCACAATAATTATTATAAAACAGAACGAAACGTCCCAATGATTTATGAAAGTGTCCTGAGTCATGTATACTTCTCTCGAAAATATTAAACGCATTGAAAATTAAAAAATAAATTACGTCGGTGCTACAAGCTTGATATAAAAGATAGATTTGAGTCATTTCGATATAAATAAATGCAACGCGAGATAAGCGAAGCAGAATTATGTCTTTTCTGACTCAGACCTCTTTCATGAATATTGGCAGAAGTATCGAGTGCAGTCGGTGAAATTAATAGACCTTGGCGGAGGAAAAGGAAAACCGATCGCTCCTTAGAATTTTCCTCCGCAAGAATAATCCTCATTGTTCTAAAAGCAGTTCAAGGGTGTGCACTGTGATCGTTAAAAGCGTTTCCCAGAACGGAATAACAATCGACTTACTGAGTCCGTTTTTCGCCGCGCTCGCGTCATCCCGGAGGATCCATAAGCTCGCAACCAGCAGCGTTATCTGCAATAGAACAGAAACTGAAATCGTCGAAAGGGATATCGCACGCTTTCCTTCTCTCTTCGTGCCAGCGAAAATCCTCGCTTCCCTTTGGCCTGCGTAACGCGCAGCGCGTAATGAGAGGCTCGCGATGACGTGCCCCGCAATTTTCTGTAATACGATGTTTATTATTTGCGATTACGCAATGCACGAAGCGCACACGCGCGGGCCCAAAGATCAACGCACCGTTTCGTACGCGACACACTTGCTGTGCACGTGGTGCTGCCACCGATTGTGAAAATTTCGCGAGGAAGCAATCGTCGAGACGGAAGCACGTGACTCTGCTTTCGAAACAGTTCTATTTCCTTTGATTTCGAATCGTTATTCCCCGCGAACGTATAATTTTCCATTCCATTTTAAAATTACGTTTGTTTAATCAAAATTCTTAGCAATCTTCCACGACTCCTCGCGATTATATGATTTCGGATTTCATTTTAAAATTAGGTTTGTTTCGTCAAAATTCTTAGCAATCTTCCACGAGTCCTCGCGATTATACGATTTCGGATTTCATTTTAAAATTAGGTTTGTTCAATATAAATTCTTGGCAATCTTCCACGATTTTGGATTTTGATCTTAAATCGGATCAAAGTTCGAGAATTTTAGGTCGAAGTAGGAGAGTTAATAGCGAGTTTAATTGATAATAAAGCTTCATTCGGAGGAACGTGTTTTCTTCTTTTGTCTCTGATCACCCTGGTTCACTATTTGTCACACGATAGCGCGAGCAATTATCGAGGAACGACAGGTATTCGTGTTCTTCCGTGTCTTCTCCTTGATGCACATTCTCGCGATAGGAAGCTATCAGTACTTCTCATTACTTCTCACGGAACCTGTTATCCACGGGATTGAAACGCATGACGGATCAATCGATCGCGGCGGACTTATTGCTTCCTGAAGTCTCGAATATTCTTCGAATAAAACCGAGCGGCCGCGGTCGTGAAAATAATTGTCCGCAGTGTTACATAACACTGAGATTGCATTGTGAAACACGCGACACGCATGAAAGAAAGCGAGGAAATAGATTGCAATTATTATATCACTCGTCGTGGTCTGCATGTGAAAATGGCCGCGGCCAATTGTCAGTCATTATTCGCTATTTCTCATAAAATCGCAATACCGTACAGTTGCATATTCCGAACGTTAGTTTTCGAGTACATGATTCGAAGATCTTCTCTTCGCGTTATTTATGGTAACAAGTATCATCGGACTAGGCTCTGAAGCTGAAACGGTACGGTATAGCCAGTGACGAATTAATCGATTATCGATAAATGTCTCCATAGAAAGTTTACGCCAACGCGTGTATATAAATCTGTTCGGCGAGTATGGCAATAAGTAATTCGCGTTGAAAGCGAATAAGGAATCGCATCTCGTTCCATTCATGGTTTATTCATTCACGAAGTTAATTTCTACGTGTAACGTACACCGTGATCGCAATAAAACCCCACGTGGTCAGCCGCAATTTATACGCGAGTCTCATGAATGGTCACTATCGCGATCTAATGTTTGAAATTTCTAACGGAGGAACCAACCTTCGCTGATGGAACTGACTTCCATTCAACCACGCGATCCGTCAATGAACGATCATTCTAGCCTGTCATCGTTCATATGAAAGACGAAAAACTTTTCACAATGTCTCGTTAATTAAGCACGCGCGTTTGTTTTCTTAATTAAGTGTCCAGGGAACACGACGCGATAAAGCATCTCTATCAACAATTAATGTTCCTTCTTTCTATCGGTAGCAAAGATTTTATGGAATTCATTCTCAGATTATTCGTTTAGAATTAAATGCGTGGTCTCCAAGTGGAACGCCTTCTGAGAACACGGGACCAGCCTATACCGCGTCATATTGTTCTACACGGATCGTAATTAGCACGATTATGCAACGATTAATCCTTTCTTCTCGCAAGGACATGCACTTGCGAATATATAGATGCTAGCCCAGCCGCAGATGGACAGTACTGTTGCTCAAAATTTATCTGACACGTGTAGATCTTGTACAGCACCTGTGCACCTCACTGTCTCGCGAGTCCCGACGATTTTTCACCGTTACGTAAACTTTTATGCTATTGCGAATGACAATTTCGCGTACAACGACAATTCTGCGTTTTGCGATTACTCTGCGCAACGACCAGCTTGCTCGCAGCTTCCTTTGGCCGATTACAGAAATTTCACTGACATCCGTCAGATTTATTGCACCTTGTTACTCCTGGTATCGCGACTTACGCTGCATCGTGTAGCGATTAATTCTTAATCGTTATTAATGATGAACGGCAGCTATTAAATAAAGTACCGGCGCACGTTACGATATTTCATTATATCAAATGTATCGTAAGACAAACAGACTGTTCAAACAAACGCGGGACGAGAGTGACATAACTCATAGTTTGCCTTGTCAAACCGCATCGTTAGAGTAGAGGAACGGGACGAAAATTAATTTTCCCGATACACGTCTAAGAAAGTAACCCCGTTACCACACGATGCATCGATGTAGGACGAATATCATCTTCTCGCTTGCGAAATGCTCGGCACGTTATTTTTTTCTCTTTTTTTCTTTTTCCTCTGTGTCAACGAGGATCGTATTAGCGTCCATATACTCACGTGTAGAGGGTAATGCATCGTGCGTGCAGCTCGTGACGACTAACAGGCATACACCGTGCCCGATGTCATTTATACTTTCTCTCCATAAACGCTTTTGCCCTAATTCAATTGATATAAGAACGACCAATTTTCCATATTTCATGCGTGAACGAAATTATGTATAATTTCGTTTCTCGAGGTTTTAATGACGAGTTCCACCGACATGGTATCGATTAATCCTTTATAGGCATCGTACAGAGATATCGTGTAATACCTTGTGGAACATTTCGCTGCACGATACTTGACAATTCGCAGGATTCCGGTTGATTATTTTATTAATAAAATCCGGTGATATTGATACTTAATCGGATGATCGATAGGAATATAGTGTTTACTATAGAGTACTATCATTGCCCGATTCGGAAAGCTGTCGATCACGCTCGGATTATAACTTGTCACGGTATCCCTATAATTCTTCTTCATTCGCTACATAGCGATTGAGCAAGCCTAATTGAAGGAGCCCTTATCCTACGCGCGTACTTGCGAAATAAATTACGAAACAAAGAAAAGGCAATTTTCACGTGCTCTTCTATGCGTTTAATGACATTGTTTAAGTGGTTGCGCTTGAGCGAAGTTCCATGCGAGATGATTTTTAATTATATATGATCACGTGACAATAAATAGCGTGGCATTCTTGGAACGTTATAACGAAAATGTCAGACGACCGTGGATGGAACTTTTATACCTTTTTATTGCTAGCATTTTGTAACTAATTACGATTAGTATCCTATGTGATTGATCGTGCTAACAACGCCGGGGGCAACGGCACCTCGAACGTTGTAAACTTGCACAGATTGCGGATGCAGGCCCACTAGTCTCGTTGCCCTCAAATTCGGACCGACAATTAGCGGCTGTACACCTCCGAATCCGCCTAATTGCCGGGCCTGAATGGAATTAAATTGATGTCTCATAAATCCGGGATACTTGGACAACATGCCAGTTACGCTTCCATAGGGAATTCCACCTGGAACGAAATAACGTTTAGCAAATACGGGTCATGGTTTTACTAGCTGTGCAAAGGTGCAGAGAAAGTTTAATTAATGACGCTTCTTCGTATGTTTCTTTTTTCTTTATATTAATTTAGAAAAGCAAGATTCCGCTTTCGAAATGGTAATAAAAGTAATCGCTCGTTGCCGATGCTTATTTGCCAATGTTTATTTGCAAATGTTTATTTGCCAATGTTTATTTAGAATCGCTACTCTTTTAGAGACAGTGCGAGCTCTAAGAATTAGGCGACACCGCCTATGCAGGAGACATCGTCTGTGCAGGCGACACCGCCTGCGCAGGCATTCAAGTCTCCACGCATCTCCACGTATCGACGTCTACGCGATTTCCGAGTCGCAGGCGAATTATCGCCTGTGCAGGAGACATCGTCTGTGCAGGCGACACCGCCTATGCAGGAGACATCGTCTGTGCAGGCGACACCGCCTGCGCAGACATTCAAGTCTCCACGCATCTCCACGTATCGACGTCTACGCGATTTCCGAGTCGCAGGCGAATTGAAAATACAGGAAAATTTAATATTTCTTTTTCTTTTTACCGACGCTTGATCCACGTCACGATGCCTGCAAGTTTGTACTTTGATACTCTGTTTACGATTTCAGCAATGAAAGTGAAAGGAATTCGAGCGAAGCGTTCTGGAACCTCAGTGCCGTCCTCTGTTGTGCTTTTATCGAATAAAGAGGCAGGTTGTAGGAAGTTTAGGAATATTCGTGTTTATTCGCACGTAACGGTAATAAAATCGTAAGTCATTGGTGCAATAACACGTAAGTTAAGAAACGATGTTACCTTTACGAGGATTGTGTAACGTAAATGGAAAGTGAACACACTGACTTACCATACGCCAATCCATTCACCATTTCCACGATTCCTGCACTGTCCGGTGCGGCTGTCGATAAGTTCAGCAAACCAACCACGGTTAACAGCAGAATGGTCTGTAAACAATTAGTTATTCTCATTTTGCCAGCGGACTCTTGCGAGCTACGCTATAGAATAGAGATATTCTAGTTGATCCTCCTACTTGAAACGAAGCATTTTGTTGCTCTTTTATATGTGCTCGTACTTTCGATCAGATATCGCGTACAAAGAAATAATTTTCCCATATAGTTGAAGGAACATTCAGATCGTTAACGCAGCAGAATTTAGCCGTTTATCAGATTCTCAATTAAAACGTTGTTAACATCTCGAGGCTGTTATCTCGCAGCTGAATTTCACGATAGGCAGACTTAGGTATTACCAGCAAATGACAATCGTCGATAGAAAGTATGTCGCTATTTGCATGTTAGGTTTTTGCCTCGTTTTATACACGTTTTACCGTAAACGAGCAGAATGTTCCATCGTCGCACAAACTTAGAAATCTCGCGAATCGTTAAATAAACACGTTCCGTGTGTTAAGTATTAGATGTTAATCGTTCTCGCTTTCTCCTGACAATCTATTTTTGCTTTAAAAGACAGAAAAAAGAAATAAGAAATAAAAATTCGAAAGAACGTGAAGCAACGAGGAACACGAGACGTGCAATTGAGACACATACTTTCATTCGAATGCATTGTTTAAGTGCGGGAGTAATTTCATTTCCAGTACACGTATTCGTGTTTTCTGTTTGTCGAATCGTAAAACAAGAACGAAACTCGAGTACAAACTCGAAGATTGAATTATACGCACGGCGTAATGTTACTGTTGGCCAATCCAAGGCCGGCATTTCGTTTCCACGATTTTCGTCGTTAGACTGCACTGACAGTTGAGAATTCGTGAAAGAATATTCAGGATTTGACCGCTGAGATTTGCTCGATAATTAATTTAACGAACAGGCAAACAGGGTTCGCACGTCTGGAAATTTTGGATAAGAAAATTTGAGGAAATTTAATGAAAGAGGAAAATAAATGGTAGAAAGAGTGGGAAAGTTCATTGAACATGTCTCGAACGCTCTTAGAACTGTGAAACATATGGACCTTGGAGGACACAATCACCTCTCACGACGTTAGTCACGCGATTCGTATTACGTTCACGCATTGACTATTTTCTCCTTTTCGTTCTACTTAAAAGCGCTCGTAAGCGCAGTTCCTAATTGTCACGTGAGTTACAGCGGTTTCCATATTAGCACTGTCAAAACATATGTTTCCCGCGATATTTCCATGCCTCCTATTTTAACGTTCATACGCTACTATTTATACATATTTGCATACGCATTTAAACTCTGTGACTCGATTTAATTCAATTTCGAATATTGAATATTCACGAATGAAAGGAAAATGAATCAATCAACAAACGTGAATTTTAACTCTTCTTAATTCTATCGGATTTTATATATTTTTCAACGTTCCCCTTTCGGAATATGATGTCACTTTTTCACACTTCACCAAAAGAGCTGTCGATTATATTTTCCTATAAGAACCCTGATTTACAAGTGAACGTACTACGTCATTAATTATCACCACTGTTCCGAGCGTCTATTTTTGACGAAATGACCACGAGTTTTTTCATTTTTATTTCCACGAGAAAGCAGCACGCTTGACGTACCTTCAGAGGAAGCATATTGACCTTTTAGTAGTCGCGACTGAAGACAAGAAGGAAACTAAAGCACTAAAGTAAAGATCGAATTATATACGGGGCTCGGCCTCGCAGTTGGCCAATCAAAGGCTTGTATTCCCTTTCAGTATCGAGTGTTATTCATCGATACAGGATTTTATTAGAATGCAGTACGTACCTAAATGGAGGATATCGTCCACCTTAACCTTGGTGAACGTCCAGCTGGCCACTCACATAGGCTTAGCCAACGGAATAAGGTAAATACTTCGTAATTCGTATTTCTGCTGGTGGGAATACTTCGATGCAGTCGAACCGATATTGCTTGCGAAATATTTGAAAGTCGCTAATTACGCATTGCTGAATAAATAGGAAATTACGGCCCGATTAATAATTGAACTAAAATATCAAAATGAATAGTCGCGAACGCCAAATAGCGTCGATTAAATACACAAAGGTAGATTTATTTCGAAAAATTTTCAAAATTTTCGAGTTCAACGACGTACCGATTTGATATTTAATTGCAGCTTCATTTTGGCGTATTTTCAGAAGCTCGGTTGTACTACACGAGTCCTAAATAACACGTTAATTAATTAATTACTCACCCATATAATTTTCCAGCCGTAACGATATTCAGACCATGAAGTCCATAGGTGTATGCGATTAAATAAAATGATTATAGCATGAGCATTGAGTGGTTAATATAATAGCACGGATCATTATTCTCAGCCGACATAATACATCATTAAGTGCAAGTGCATCGTTCTTCATCGCAGAATTATCGATAAATCATTTACCAGGTCTCGGTTAGTGCGATGAATATAAGCATGATTGACAAGCTGCCTACTAAATTCTATGGGGAAATTGTGACACTACTGTGTGAAATTAGATCAAGGATAGCCAGCTCGGGAACAGGGATCTACGTTACGTAATGAGAAACAATTTACCGATCTCCTAGATCGCGATCAATTATCGTTCACGAAATATTTTTTAAATTCTTTATTAAGGATTTTATTAAAAATTTTTCAAATTCTTCTATCAGGATCCTTTATAAATTTTCCACGGTCTCGTATCGAGATTTTCGTCAATTATTTGCAACTGTTTGACAATTATCAGAATACTTTTTGTAGGCTACGACACTTTAGTGCAATTGTTTTATCTTTATTCAAATAATCTGATTTATATACAACAACTCGAGTAACAAATAAAGATTTAACAGTAACAAATACGTAACATTAATCGTTTAGCAAAAAGATCTATAGAATCAACGACTGGAGATTATAGCTCTATAACAGGTTCTCGACAGCGATACTTGAAATTGCTTCGTGTTATTACAGAGGATAGATTACAAAAATTTATCAAAGCGTTCCAGGTAACAGTAAATCCTTTGCTCTGATTCCTTCCTCTACCTTTTCTTTTTGCCTCCTCTTTGATTTACTTTTTGCCGGGTACCCTATCATCCTAGCTGGTCGATTTCCATTCGTCTGGCATTATAATTTTTTCCTCGTCCCGTGCTATTCCATTCCTCTACCACGTTCCGAGAGTATCTTTTTTCCGAGACAAACGTGATACACTTTTCAGCGAGTCGTCCTCCGAAGCAGGCCTGAAACGAATTATTTCACGAGTGACTCGTAATCGCGCGAAAATAACTCGGACTTATTTCGCCTTTCTACGACACCGTGTCGCGTAAAGTCTGCTGAAAACGTCAGGTTAATGAAAGAAAGTTCTAATAGAAACATCTAATGGACCTGATATCCTCTCAACGACGCGTCATTAACATCCTTTCCAATCAATTTCTACTCGTTTCCGTGGATGTTTCTCAATCCAAATAACGACCACGCGACTTTCAATTTTTCATTCTTTTTCCTCCAGCCTCTAGGAACAGGCAATAAACCGCAGACATAAAACTGGACGAGAAAAAGGAGCATTCGGACTCAAAAGTCGTAATTCTCGGATATCCAGGAAACGGAGGAGACGATCTCTCTGGAAGACTGCTCGGTCAGCTGAAGAGCTCTGTTCTGCGGTGAGAAGTTCGCTTCCGTTTTCAACACAGCTCCAAACTCGTAATCCTCGTCAGGCTTCTCTACATCGCTCAATGTCTCTATCCTGTCGTCCTCGAAGTCGAACCTCGCGTCACTTTTGACAGTAGGAATTATTCTCCTTGGTTCGCCAGCTTCCTCGTTCTTGCTCGCGTCATCGTCGATCGACACCGCTGTCACGGTTCTATTCTCTTCTTTCTCTCCTAGATCCCTTTCCCCAACGTCGTTAACCTTCTCCGACTGATCCTGTTTCCTCGAACTCTTCGAGAGCTCCCGATCCTTCGAGCTTTTTGTCGGCTCGTTTACTATCTCATTCGTTCGACTCCTCTTTCTGCCTCTGGATCGTTGCTCCACTGTTCCAGTTTTGCTCGTCGAATTATCTCTTTCCGTCGCGTCGTTGCTAGACCTATTCGGAGTTTTAGACAAGCTGTTTCTCCTCGTATCGTTTCCCGACTTCTGATTTCTCCGTCGTGTCACCCTGGAGGCTGGAGTGGTGCTAGCAGCAGACGCGATCGTCGTGGGCGTGGTCGTCGCAGACTTCTGCCTTCGACGAGCTCGACTAGCCTCAGTGACCGATTCCACGGTAGAGATAGCGTTTTTCAATGGCCTCCGTCTCTTCTTCGTCGCCTGTTTCGTAGAATTCTCAGTTTCTCGAGGACCAGGCGTGACCGCAGTCACTCGCGACTCAGAATTTTCCAAGGTATTCTTCGCCAGCTCGCTCGAGTTCCTACTTTCGAACGCGTCTATGACTTCCTTGGCTTTCGACTGCTCCCTGATCTTCGTCTTCCTGGTGGAAGCTAGGGTCACGTCTTCGGGAACGATCATTCCTCTCGAGATGCCTCTGTACTTGGTAGACGTCTCTGGTCTCTTCTCCAACGAAGAATCGACTTGTTCCTCTTTCGAAGCGCCCTTCGATGACTCCTCCTGGGATTCTTCTTCCAGAGCCTTCTTGATGGACCTGCTAATCTCTTCTACGCTAGTCGATCTGACTGTCGTCGAATTTTCATTCATCGGATTGCTGTTCTTCGACCTGTATCTACTGCTATACTTCATCACTGGTCGATATTCGCTGCTACTCTCTAAGTTATCCGAAGTGCCATCTTCAGATGTGTCCCTGCGACCCCAGTATCGGTACCTTCCACGAGGATAGGTATTTCTTCTAGGTTTCGAGGCGTAGACTTCTTCCGTCTCTTCGTCATCATCTTCGAAGCTCTTCAGTAATCCCTTACGCTTTTCTTCCTTTCTTTTTCTCTCTTCTCTCGCCAGACGTTCTCTTCTTTCCCACGGGAACTCGAACAATGACTTACCACGATGCTGATCACGTTTTCGTGCAGGTTCATCCTCCCTCTTCTTGTACCATGGGAACACGTACTCCTCTTTCACGTCAGTGCTCTCTTCGCTCTCTTCCGAGCTTCTCTTCGGATGAGATTTATCATAATCGGTAAACGGCGGATGAAAGAAGGCTGGTTTGTTCACGCGTGGGCCAAGGTCCGCGTACTTCTCATCTTCGTAATTCTCCGCTGGAGATTGTGGTCTGGACGTATACGCGAAGAACGGTTCTTCTTCTTCCGATTCGCTCTCCTTCGACGGAGCGTGGCTTTCGTCTGAAGATTCTCTGCTCGATTGGGCTTTCGTGCTTGTCTCTAGCTTCTCCGAGGATTCTTCCTGCGAGAAATGAGAGGGATAGGAGATCTTCGAGGTTTCTTCGTCCTTGTCGTTTTCGTGGTGCGTTGTGTTCGAATTCATGGAGTCCAGAGCTGTATGGAAGTCGTTAGAATTATTGTTAACGCTGTAGGGATATGGTTTCTCGAAGTCTTCGGAGGATAACCCTGTGAATTTCGTGGGGTCTGCTTCCATGTAGGTTTTCAAGCTGAAATATTCTGTAGAGGATGATACTTGGGGGTTCTCCGTTGTTGTCACCTCACTTTCTTCCACGTTTTCGTGAACTGCATAACCTGCTCCTGTTCTATTCGCCATTGGCTCGTTTGCGTGATTAATTTGGTCCTGGTCCGAACGATCGAGGTTCTCAGACACGTTCAGCTTGTCATCCTTGGCGCGATCGATTAAGTATTTCGCTCCTCGATTATCTTCAGCAATAATTTGACTGTCGAGATCGGCATTCTTCTCTGTAGTCGTCGTTGTATCCGACAAATTAATTTCGGTGGTTAGAGGGTACAGAGAATTCTCCGTTGTAGTTAGTATTGGACTTGGAGTACTCTTTCTTCTGATATAGTTATATTTTGGTTCCTTGCGTCTACTGGCTTCGTTCACTTTCGTCTCGTTCACAAATTTTCCGAGCTTCCTCACGTCTCCTTTCGGTTTCGAATACCTGATCCTGTCTTTGATCGTGTATACAACCTTCTGGGACATCTCCTGCTTCTGAGCTGTGTTATTAATCGAATTTTCATTTGGTACACCTCTGGAGACCTTGAGCTTCCTCTGTGAAGGTACTATCTTTGAATCGGTACTTGGTTTCGTCGAATTCTCTTCGTCAACGATAGGTCTGATAGTCGAGTTCTGAGAATTTGTCAGTCCGTATTTGCTTTCTCTCGAATTCGACAATCTTTCTTCATCGTCTCCTTTCTTCTCCGCTGAGTCCAATTCGATGGAAGCTAGTATCAAGCTTTCTTCGTTGCTGGAGTTTGGTGTATCCGTCAAATCCCGTTTGTAAACGCGAACCTTCCTCCGACGTTTGATAGTTCTGTAGCCAATTACGGGTTTCTGAACTTGAATCCTCGGTCTAGTCTTCTGTGGTATTCTGGTCCGTTTGTAGCTACCTCTTTGTCTGCTGCGATACACGGGAGGCATCAGCCCTTTAATGTTTATGCCCATGTTGCTAGGTTGATCCAGGATATCTATCGACACTTTGTATTTGTCTTTCCTCCCCTCTTTCGTCGAGTTCTTGGAGGGGTTTATTCTGACATCGTTGTTCGTGTCGTCGAAGATGGTAATTTCCTCCGAAGCTGGCAT